TGTTCCGTACGTCATCTCCTCCTCCTCCTAGCCCCTCGTTGTCCTTGGACATACTCCCCCCCCCCCCCCAACCCCCCCCCCCCTATTCCCCCCCCACCCCCCCCGTACAAACCAAAAAGGACTCACACCCAAAAAAAAAAAAACCACCCCCCCCCCCCCCCCCCCCCCCCCCCCCCCCCCCCCCCCCCCCCCCCCCAAAACTCCCCGGAATTGACCACTGCTACTGGCCTCATACCGCACCTACCTACGACCTTGTGCGTGGCTACAATGTACTCCTCGCGGCACTAAATTGCGACGTCAGCCGTCCGCTTCCCAACACCCTCCCGGCGTTCCCCAATGAGTCGAGCGACTCCGCAAGGCAAGGGATGACGGGCGTCTTCTCACCCAATTGCACCGAGAAGAGGGGAGGGAGCGAAAGGAGGGGTAAAACAAAGATGGCGGTCAACGAGGTCGAAATGCTGGCCCGACCTGTAACTCACTATCATCTTCATAGAGGCCGCAGGTAGTGATTTATCGACGAGACGCGCGATACGCACCACCATGGCTACGACCTTGATTGGTTCAGCAGTGCTTGCGCAGCATGTCTCCCAGTCCGTTCTTCTTTTCTTATTCTTTGCCTTGCCTTAGCCCGCCATCGAGTGCTGGATCTACTGAGATCTTGACAAAACAAAATACGGTTGGCCAATGCCAATGCCTCAACCCCTCATCCGCCACCGAGAAAGAGGTGGACAAAGGCGAAGCAGCCATATCGATATCCAGGCTTCTTATCACCCCTCCTTCTTGATAGCTGCCTTATCTTATCCCTCCCGAACCCCTCCCACCCCTCAAGTATTCTCACATGTGAAGTTGCGTAGGTACCTAGGTAGGTACGCACAGTAAGGTACTACGTAGTACCCGCCCACAAACGGCCTGCCTGATCCAGCAAGCTGAGACGTAGGACCCCAGTGGGCCAGTGAGGGGCCCAATGGGGTCTGGATTCTTGAGCGAGAACAACCCAAGACAACTTTCGACGACGTCTTCGTGCGTGACTTGCATTTTGTTAGCCCATTGGTGGTGAGATTTGCTTCGACGTTGCCCTACCCCGTACACAAATCAAGCAAGCAAGTAAACCTCAATGAATGCATCGGCTGGGCATTCAGAATGTCTCCAATTCGATTTGTTGAACTTGTCTTCCGAGAATATCGTGTCTCACTAGGTAAGCTCGTCAGGTGAAAAGCAGCCAAATCCAAACCTGAGACAGGGTTTTTCTCGGCTGTAGGATGAATGGATCCGATTTAATCAAATGCAGTAATTACGTCTTACCACATGGCGCGCAAATGGGCCAAGCCCCCACGCATGCGTTCGCGGGGGGGTCAATACCTCTCGAAAGTCTGAGTCGGTATTGACTGAGGTAATAACTCGTTCAACCTATTAGTCCGGCACCGTCTGGGTAGCTGTGCGTTTGAAAATCATGTCCCCTGGGCAAGAAGCCCGGTCATGAGGTCCGTGGTGACGTGGACATCGTCAACGTGATCCCGTTACTCCGTCGTTTTGTTTACGTCTCCACCCGTTCATTGGCATCATCAGTTGTCAACGTAGAAAAAGCTTGTTACGCTCTTCGCCTCGGAAATTAACATATCGTCAAAAACTTCTATCCGCAGAGCCGCTTTTGGCCCCGCTAATGGTATCTACCTAATATCCATAAATCACTCAAAAAGCATCCGCTGAACAAGTCTGGTCACCGCGACGTTTTTAGTAAACATACTGCGCTCTCTGACCGCAACTCGAATAATATTGTCGATTCATCCACAAAGTTCGTCTAGTACGGAAACAAACTAATCAGGATATGTACTGAATGGAGATTTTCTATGCGCGCTAGCAATAAGCCGGGTCGCCAGTGCGATGGACGCGTGAGCAGCTTCGTGAAGTCAATGTCCATTACCAACCACTCGACCTTGTCAAGCTCCCGGCAATGACGCGCACCGCCTGCTCCCAGATTTCGTGCCTTGCAACAGAAGTGTCTCCTCGTTATTGTAAGTTGGTTATTTGTCTTGAAAGCTGGCACGGCACAGTGTATAGCGTAGACAAAAAAAAAAAAAGCTTCAATTTGGCAATGTAGTAAACTCATACCTGTGTACAATAGAGTTAGCCGGCATGGATGCATTCCAGGAAGCAACGTCGGGTTAACGAACTCCAGTTGAACTGACCCCACAGCTTGCTCTCTGCCACGACATTTGCGTACTATGTTTTTGGTCGTGTCGATGAAGCTGTGGTAGGGTTCATGTCGACCTGACCTTGCCGTTGGCGACGCACATGACCATGAACGTCTGGCAGGCCGGCCCTCATTTTGATAACCACGGAATCCCAACCGATGGCTTAGTCGAAAACAACGGGCGGATGCTACTGGCTCATGGAGCCTATCACAACAAAGCCTATAATTATGGGGAACTTTATTGGTTAGTTATTCTTCAGTCGCAACTTCTCAGCCTCGTAGATTTCTTTTAGGTGCCAGAGACCCCATGCTAGGTATACACAGAGTCTCATCGCAGCCGAGCTTCACAGGACAGTACAAGATACCGAAGGATTGTGGTACCGTATACGCAGCCAGGTTGTGGCTCAACTTGAGACCAAGCCCAAATGCTAGCAGGCATTGCCAATGCCTGACGTAAATCTTTCTGGGTTTGCGAGTAGCTGCTCTGAGATGATGATGCAAGCAGGCGCAGAAATAGACGAAAAGACACGTCGTAGCCTCCCTTTCCTCCTCTAGGCACCAGCTTGTATTCTGCTCCCCCGCCAGTACCTATCCGCCTGCCGAAGAAGCTGTTGCCTAGCTCTGGTCGTCAACCATATGAGACCTCCCATGGGTACCTATGTGGAAAAGGTAGCTACCAGGGACGAGGTCTCTGAGAAATAGCGGAAAAGTCCCATCAATTGATCTAAGGAGTCCGCACAACTGATCCTTGGGAGCTGATGATGCTCAGTTGCGTACATTTATTCATTGTGGAATCGCGGGCGCTGAAGTTGTTCTATTCAAGCTGCAGCTGCTTAGTAGTGAGCGGAAGCCTCTTTTTCCAGTCTTGGCCAAGTTCCGCTGCTTTGACCCCTAGCCGACGTCGTTCATGAGAAATCGTAGACCATGAGGCTTTCATTTCCATCTTTGGCTTCCTTCAGTACGATGACCATTTCGTCGTCAAAGCCTACCCAGTTGCGTCGGTCATCCCAGCGGTCTGTCGTCGCTTCAGGCAAGGGCACAACGACTTCTGTAGAGACAGAGCCTGAGGTCAACTTCGGCCTGATTTCGATACTTTTGCCACTGACGCGTCCCTCGAGCTCCCAGACTCGAATCTCCTCGCCTCGAGAGCTGACACTCACGGCTTTGCCTCGTGCCGTGATTTCCGCATCGCTGATGCCTGATGTATGGCCCCAGAGGCGGATACCTGAAGAAACGTTGACTTTTGTGGCATTTGATGTACATATATGTAGAATCATGGTATTGTCCGGCATCGCAGCCAAAAGATACGGGTGGCTGTAGCAAAGTGTTGTCGGACCCTCAGGTGCCTGTCTTGGAGGCGGAGACCGTCGACACTCAGTTGAGGAATTCGGGGCAACTGGAGACGCAGCCTTAACAGGCTTAGTGAAAGCGAGTCGTGTTGATACGATCTCTGACGACGGCTGGCTCGCAGATTGTCGCCGTATCTGGAGATCCTGTATACCAATGGACCATCCTTCCAATGTGGAAAATGTATATGCGATCGATGCGATCACATGTGAAGCCACCAGACGAATAGATAGAGCCAGTGGTGCTCGAGACGTGTGTGACTTGAGCGAAGTCAGAAGAACAGGAGCAGGGAGTGGACTGACTCCTCGCAGTGATTTCTTTCTCTTGTCAGACCTTGGCAATGGGAACTCTTCCATATCGCTTTCTGACTCTGGGAGAGTTGCGCATTCTGAAGCAGCCTCCATCTCACTTTGTTCTGGAGTAATGGTGTCCCGCTGACGGCTGAACGTCGCTGTCTCTCGGCTGGAAGGGGTTCGCTCAAAGTCGTACAGAGATACCAGAACAGATTCTGTTGCCGTGAGGATAAAGGGGTGGTGATAGACAATCTGCACTAGCTGGCCGTTGCTGGACTTTTCGTGCCTGTATCTTTTCAGGAACCTGCCTTCTTCGATATAGAGCCCCCAAACGCCGAAGCTTCCGTCCATAAAGCCGACTGAGACGTCAAGCCTTTTACTTTCAAAAGCTTGGGCATCGATGGCTATGCAAGTGGGAAAGGACCCGCCGTTTCCATTAGTGAGGTTGATCTGGGCGATAGACTCCTTGGTCTTAAGATCCCAGGCTCGCATGCCAGAGACGCAGTCGGCGGTGACAGCGATACCCTCAATCACTTTAACCAAAGTCTTCCGTGCGCCCGTAGAATCTAATAGGGATTCTCCAACCTTCAGCTCCTGAACTGAGGCATTACCACTAGCCCAATTGTGCCGCAACTTGTACTGGCGCTTCCAGTCAACTGAATCTCCCGAGGCATCTCTCCGACCCCAGCCGCCGTCAGCCCAGACGGTGCGCCGTGTGGAGAACTGTATTCGACTGCTTCCTCGAGCAGACCCATCGCGAAAACCAGGTATCTTCAAAGCGCGCGGCAGTACGAAACGGTGGTAGTAAAGGGTGCGCCATAGTTGAGAGTCGGCGGACAGGCGGTAGAAACGGCGGGACACGGGTGACATGCCCACAAGAGTGGAAGTTGACAGAAAGGACAGGATGCGAACCAGGAGCTCGTCCGACAAAGAGGACAGAAAATCGTCGGCTGCAAACATAGCCATGCCTTGAGGCTTCGATTTCGAATCGTAGTGGTACGATGCGGTGAGCCGCGCGCGCTTTACAGGCCCGGGGCGATCGTCGCTACCGCCGAGCGCCTGGCGCCGCTTTCGCTGCATTTTTGGATTCGATCAAAGCGCTGGCGGAAGCCTGCCTTCACTGCTTTGTTCAAAACGTACTCTGTTCAAGACGGGGATAGGCGATAGGTTCATCTTCAACTGCGTTCAATCCACTCGTGTGATGGCGAAATCGCCATCGGGCTAGAGGGAAGGCGAGGTAGTGAAAATGTCTGGGCAGCATTATTAACGGTCACACATGTCGAGGTAGTTGTAGATTGGCGTCGCGCAACGAAAGGATGCGGTCACTGATAAGATAACGCGCGATCTAGGGGCCTGTGCGCGAGGGACGGTCGGTTTCTGGACCTCCGTTCCCAAAGTCTGTCCATTTCGTCCTCTTTCGCGCCCGAGTTGTTTGTCCTTAAACTCCTACTTCGCACTCTGCTTGGCAATTGGAAACCAGCGTAACTTGCTTACTCGGACATCAGAAGCTATTGCCATTCACTTTCAGTCCATAAAGGTAGTGGATTCTGAACAATTGGGTCTTCAACCGTCTCAAGTCTGCGATTCCTAGTTGATTTGTTAATGTTGTACTCGTTTCGTACAAACTCCCTCATGCAAGCAAGTAAAGCTGTTTTGCCTTAAGAGTTGAGGAACTAGCGAGATGAAACCTTTTCAGCGTTGGTCGCGAGTTGTACAACCCGGATATTTCTACCTCGGAAATGAACCCAATTATCTCGAACCTTCAGCTCGTCGAAAGAATATTGGTGTAGATATCTTGGACGTCGGCCAATGCCTGAGGAGGGATTGCGAGGCGGCAGCTGTCTACAAAATGGAGATGGACTGGGGTCGCATCTACCTCAAGTCTTGTGCGGTAACAATAAGCGCAAAGCTGGCGATCAGAGTATTTCCCAGGTCCAAAATATCCTAGTTGGCGTGGGTACGGGATCCCCATTAAGAAGAAGAGACTTTGCAGAAGGCTTGCGTACTCCCCCATGCGGCGATACCCTAAAGTCTCTACTCATAGGTCATAAGACTTGAAAATATACACCAAAGACGACACCGGCAGCAGTGGATATTGAACCGTGGGTGTAATGCTAATGATGGTTATAGTGGGTTTTGTGGGAGGACGAGTGCTGCAGTCAAAGATTCTTGATGTCTACATGAGAGGCCTTGGCGGTGCGCATCGCCTGGAACAGCGGTCGATTTCAGCAAAATATAAGACATAATAAGCTTCCAACTACTCACGATCCGAACGCATGTGGGCGCAAGCTCGCCCACAGACAGATATGCGTGGCGCAGTATTCAGGATCAAAGTTGAAGGTGCGTCCATGAAGCATCGATTTGTATCAGCGCTGTGTGAGTATGTAAAATATAGGAGCGTCCCTACAGGCATTTGTTGGTTCTACTGTGTGTTCACAATGAAAGCAATTTTCAATTGCGTCAGGCAAGGTTGGAAGGTAGCCGATTCGACTTAGTTAGCTCTTTCTAGGTAATCTCTGTCTGGTGTCTGCCGGTGGTATATAATCGGGGCCGGGAGCTTTACCGCCGCATTGTCGGCCGAAGGTCCTGAGCAGCTGGGCTTGCTGCTACTGCCATGGTATGATGAGGCCTACGTCCCTCCAGTGGTGCACGCCTTTTGGATCGATTCAACGACCTGGCGGAAGAAGAGGATCCACAAGATGATCCAATTCGGGCACAGTCATGCCACCAAGGTACGGATACTGACGACGTGATTGAGCGGAGAGAGTTCCTACCTTAAGGTTGACAGCGCTGGGGCGGTATCGTGCAACGAACCACTGGCCTTGCAGCCGGCCACTGAAATCGCACGGTCCCGTAGGTGGAGGTCGCCGGGGTTGGCAGGAACACGAACAGCTCGGACAGGGCGGGGTCATCTCGGCTTCAAGTGGATTACGACTGGAAGGACTGTACAATATAGGTGGCCGATGGGATCTGGACCGATGAAGATGTTCGGCAAGCCGGGGTGCCCAGCTGGCGCGCCGACGCTTGGAGCACCGGCGAAAGCTTAGAAGAGAATGAAGAGGACAAGACGCTTGTGGGAGCGAGAAACGAACAACATTTCAACGCAGACTTTGGTTTGGGCATGGACAATCTTACGTCTCATTTGGACAAGTACTAATTATGGAAAAGTTAGATTCTTTCCAGATGTTGCTGGACACGTCCTCCATTGTTTTATAGAGACCGCCCTAGTACCTATGTTGACTGCGTCATGGCATCCGCGGGTGGCCGAAATGTATCAGCCAGCTGCCGCAGCTTGTGGCCCCCTTGATGGAGTGGTTGGGTGTCGATAACGCGGTCGACGGGCCCTTGATATACATTGGGCACCCGTTGACTCACCTTGCATAGGGCACCTTGCCTCTATGTACACAACATATATCCGTACCCTACCTTATATAATGCGTCTTGCAAGGCCAACAGCAAATATGCCGTGCCGTACATTTCTCAGCATTCACAAGAGGTACTGGAACTTGGAAGTGAGCCGTCACATAGCGCCTTGCCTGAGTCAAGGGGGTGAGTCAAGCGTTGAGGCTACCTAGTGCATTCGAGCCATGCTTCCTCCTTCTCCCGGACCTTAGAATAGTAACCCAGCATGCCCTGCAGCCTACCCGGGCTTCTCCTGGGGCCAATAAAAAACCACCTACATTACGTACTTTAGAGTCCGATACCGTCCGTCGGCGTCGTTAGTACGTCCTTGTCCGACTTCCATTGGTTGCCTAGGTCTGCCTGGACAGTCCAGGACCGCGCAGCACGGTGAACCAATTACCGTGTCTTAACCTTATCCAACTCGTAGAGAGAGGGGGTCATTAGCCAGCCTTGCCTCTTCTCAACTGCCTTACCGTAACAATACTCGCTCTCAGGTATCCGTATACTACATGATCTCAAACTCAGCCTCAATTTCGTCCAAATTTCATCCCTGAGCCGCCGGTTGTATCTTCGACCAAACCTCAACCGCCCCAGACTCATTGTAGTCGAACTACACTACCCCGAATACGCCGTGAAAAGCCAAAGATCGAATAAGCTCAACTATCGGCCCCAACACTTGCATTGCCGCTGCCACTGCCGCATTTCGATTCATAGTTTAGCCCCCTCCTGTATCCTCCCACACACAAACATTCGCTCTCCCTCTTCCTCATCCTCATTCACTCACTTGCTCTTTGTGCGCCCTTCCCTCACGGACCCCCTGGAATGACCCGCGTTCTCAGCGTCCTCGCCGTAGAAGTATCGCAATCCCAACTGCATCTCCGACGCAACAACCACGCCGTCGTCACCTCTGCCCCGCAGCACCCTACGGGCCCTGCCTTGGCTGCCGCCTTCCGAACCAATAATTCAGAGCAGGTCTCGGCACATACTGGCACATACCGCCGCAAAGCAAGGCTCAGGCACGCTGCAGTGTCGGGTCATCGTTCTTGATGAACATGGATTCTGATTCCCGGTCCGCGGGTCCCGACGACCAGGGCCTTCGTCGAGCTGTATGTCGCAAACATCCATATTCAGATTGATTTGCTTCACACGATCCATCAGACCTCCTTCTCGCCAGTTAAAACTCGTTTACCAAAACCAAGTACTGACTCTGTCTCTTTATCGTCTAGTGTGATCAATGTCGTACCCGTAAAGTTGGTACCCCCAATCCCACTCGTGTCTGCTTCTTCATCATCCCTCGATGGTGCGCGCGGTGGGAAGGCTGTACCCCTCAAGCTGGACATCCTTCCTACCCGCTGTTACCACCCTTCCCCCTCCCATCACTCACACCAAGGAGCTAGCCCACGCATTCCATTGAGATTCCGGTTTTGCTGACAGAGGACTCGCGCTTTGGCTTTGCGCTACAGATTCGTTGTGATAAGAGTTCGCCATGTTCCAACTGCCGTATAACTCAACGCTCCTGCAGCTCAAACGGCGTGGGTCAGAAGCCAAAAGAGCAAAGACATCGCGTGCTCATTTCCCTCCAATAGTACGCCATCTACCTTACCTTTGTTTTCTTCGTTCCTGATTACTATACGCCTTGCTGTACATATCCTTACGCCATGTTACCACTGTCGGATGAGCTCATTGTCTTGTGTTCACCACAGTGTTTTCTGATGATACCACCCGACTAGTGAAATCTCAGGGACAAAACACTAATGTCGACGTTCCTATCAATAGTGAGAAAAAGATTGATCTAATCGAAGAACGCCTTTCGAATATCGAGGAGCTGCTTCGGAGCCTCAGCAACAACGCTCCCGGCGTGGCTACTCATTCGTGGGACGCTACTAGGGCAAGACATACGACCCCCTCGGCCTCAACGATCGGGGATGCCTCAGTTCTATCCCATGACGGCGCAGACTCGGATTCAGCCTTTGAGGGCGATCCTTCGTTGACCGCCCATACCATGTTCGCCAGCGATTTCATCGAAGACGCTGTGCAGAGAACCTCGCTCCAGGACGTGGCGCCCAATATGCAAGCGGCTCTTTCTTCTCTACGGCAGATTGTTGCTATGCAGAGCAAGGCTTCTTCGAATAGAGAATTCCGGTTCCGCGCGCAACAACCGCTTCCTCCGGGAGGCCTGTCCGACTTGCCCATGCCGCCTATGAACGCAGTTGTTGCCTTGCTCAAGCATATGAAAGGTTCATTCATCTCTGATTCCTAGAGTTCAAGAGAGGTTCAAGAGGCTGACATGACGATAGTTTCTCCTCCCAGCATCTTCTCGCTCGCATGCTCCTTCCTCGACGTTGACGACCTGGCTGAGCTTTGCAGAAGAGTGTATTTCTGCACCGACAACTTCGCCGATACCACCTTCATCATAGTGAATGGCGCGCTCTTCTACTTATTCATGGAACAGGCGTACCTAGCATCGGATGCGACTGCGCGCGAGGAGTTCGAGAGGTATCAACACATGTGTCAGAATAATCTGGAAATGGCGCTAGCTTCCTTGCCTTTGATGCTGCCTGCCAAGATTGAGAGCATCGAAGCTTTGCTTCTAGCGGTTCGTGAAAGGCTTTTTGTGTTTATTTGTAAGTGGCAGAGCTGACAATGACTGCAGGCCGTTTATGCTGTGGATGTTTCGAAACCATCCCTTGCGTGGCTTTTCACATCGACCGCTGCAAGCCTGTGTCAGACACTTGGCTACCACCGTGTCTCGCAAGTTAGGAGCGAGAGCGCCGGGCCCAGGGACATCAAGACCCTTTTATTTTGGCACGTATACATGCTCGACAAAACCTTATCCTTGAGAACGGGGAGGGCATCGGTCATCCAGGACTGGGACATCACCTTGCCGCGGCAAGTCGACAATACCATGGTTGCGGATCCCTGGGGTCTTATCATAACGACGTGGATCAAGCAGGCTGAGATCCAACACCGCATTTATGAACAACTGTTCGAGGCCCCTGTCTCAACGGTACAAGCCATCAAGCTAACATCAATGGCAGATATAGCCCGCTTGCACTGGGACAGTCGCAAGAAGAGCGCATCGAAAGCGTGCGGCGCCTGGAAAGTGAACAAAAGACGATCATGGCGGCCGCGTCGCATGTGCGGGAGCAAGCTCTCTTCGGCCTCAAGGCTCTCAACGCGTCGTCCATTCTGGCCATACACCTGCGAGGCGACGAACTGACGTTTCAGTCCACATTAACTCTCATCTATAGGGCATTGCCAGCGCCTGAAGGTTCGCCTACACGATTTACTCAGGAATGTATAGACACGGCACGATTTGCCATGCAGCTGCACCTTGAATGCATGCAAGGGATTGCCGAGGAAGGGCGACATCTCAAAGCAGTCTATATTCACTGGTCAGTCGAAGTAAATACTCTGATTACGGTTCATGCTGACTCGTCCCAAGGGCCATCCTCCTCACACCCTTCACACCCTTCTTCGTCCTTTTCTGTCATGTGATCGACACTTCCAGTGCTGACGACCTGAAGAAGCTAAATGATTTCGTTGCTTCCCTTCGACCTGCATGCGCCATGTCAGAGCCGGTGGAGAAGCTTCACCAGCTCTGTTTGATGCTGTGTAACGTGGCAACTCTTTATGTGGAGAGCAAGTCGCAGCAATCAAATGAACGTGGTCCCATCAACGACGAGTTCGATGTCTATCTTAGTGCGCTAGGGTTCCCGCCCACGGAATATCCTGCTCCGGGTATGGATACCAGCGAAATGTCGCAGCCTACTATTCAGACTGCTCAACTAGGCAACTGGTTCTCGGGTAGTCAGTACATGATGGGGTTGCTTGAAGAAGACCTATCCCAATTCAATTAAGCTGGCCGAAAGGGGACGATCGGGAGCGAGCTGGCGCATCTCCTTCCAGAAGGGCTGTGACTAGTCAATTGTCACCTCGCTGACACGATCTTGGATCCGAGAGTGTCTTATGATGTGGGACTAGGCAATAACGAGCGTTGCGAGGGCTGAAAGATTGTTTGTGGTTTCGTCATGGGGTGTTGTAAGCCCAGATAGAATGGAGATATCGTGAAAAGACATCATGGCTTCTTCCTGGTCCTGCATCCAATCAAGCTCTAGCTTGACCTATTGCACGTGATGTAGGTGTCGCGTTTGGCGCGAGTACTTCAGTCGGTGGGGTATCGCGGATCGTAATGCTCGTAGCTCTCGTCGTCGGTATCGCTCTCTACAGCAGCATCTCGAACGCGCGCATTCGCCACCCTGTCAGCTTCTAGGGCTTGGCCGACTTGTGACCTTGGCGCGTCTGGCGCGGTCGGGGTGTCGACATGGGCGAAGGCCGACTTAAAGCCCGACTTCTTAAAACCACCCTTCTTGAATCCCCCGCCTCCGACAGATTGCTGTGGCTGTTCGTTGTTGGCGAGCTTGATGCTGACAAGGCCGTCTGCCTTGGCCTCGGCTTTGCGGGCTCGGGCGCCGGCGTTGGGGTCGCGAACCATGGCCTTCATGTCTTTGAGACGCTGCTTATGACTATGATCATAGCTACTGAGATGCGCCTCGTAGTCATTCATGCGAGTATATCCCTTCGAGCAGAGACTGCAGTAAAAAGACTGCAGGGCTTCGCGGGCGGCAGCGGTCTGTGCCGGAGGCAGTGTTTGGTGTCGCTAGGCAAGCAGCGTGGGTTAGGAATACCGTTGAACAAGTAGAAACATACGGGCTTACTGGAGGCATGTCTCCAGGATCTTGGAGGCAGAGAGCTGTCGATCAGGGGCGATGGGATTCTGTGACGGCTGGTGGGTACCAAGAAAGAGGTTACATACAGCTACGTGCGCTGCCAGAGATATCAAACTCACAGGTTCCGAATCCAGCGACGCGGACCCACAACGCAATGCGGGGAGCCGCTGCAGGCCCCTGGACATCGAATGCTACGGTACCTCATTACCTAAGGCACCACTAGCACAGTAGGTAGCGCGGAGGTATTGCGGCTCTATGGATTGCCGCCAGGTCCACTACCTCGCCTGTACTATGTAGGCTCAGACGCGGAAACTGATAGGCGCTCCCGCTCCCTTGCAACTCTAACCTATGACGTTCCGAGGATTGATGAGCTGCTTTGTTTGACAGTTGGAAACTATTACCCGCTCCCTAGCAAATAATCCTTACCTCACCTACCCAATCTCGTTCAATCCAGTCCAAATCCGAGCCGCGCTCTTTCTACTCTCTAAGGACTGGTCTCAAGACGTGCCAGCACTCGTGTTGCCATGGAGTCCAGATCTCTTCACTCGAAGCCGTCGGAAGAGACTCTCATATCGCTTCTTCAACTTGATCCGTCCCCCATCGAGACGCCACCGGCCGATTTTGACAAAGATCTTCCTCCCCTGCCCGAAGATGCCCTTGAGAATAGCACTGGGTCACTTAGGTCGACTTCTTCTGCGCCGGGTCTGAGCGGCAGTGGTCACAGCGCTACATTCTATTGTAAGTTGTCCAACTAAAGAGACAGAACTCGTCGATTTCAGCGGCATTGAAGGTAGATTGGTTAATGCGTATGACCTTCCCAGTAACACGAATCCAAAAGTTTTCTTCCTACCTGATACCGGTCTTCATGTCACTTCACGTCGTCAACACCTCGATAATACCTCTGTTTGCGCGATCGGTCCCAGCTTCCGAGGCATACCTGCTACTTTCTCGAGAAATATACCAAACACCGCTAACAGAACCGCTTCTCGTGGCGTTGCCCATCTTCGCACACATCGCCTCTGGCTTCGCCCTCCGCCTCGTTCGCCGATCGCAGAATCTCAAGCGCTATGGCGGCAACACTCCTGGCATGTACGCCTTGTATCGGTCTCAGACCGGCAAAACATCACGAACCTCGACCTACAATAACGTCAACTCAGCTAGCAGGATATGGCCATTCGTCAGCTACATATCTATATCTGGCCATGTCTTCACAATTCTTCTTGTTGCTCACGCAGGCATTAACCGAATTCTTCCTCTGCAAGTTGATGGCGGCAGCTCCAACATTGGCTTGGGGTTCGTTTCGCATGGATTTGCCCGGCATTCCTTCGTCTCGTGGATTACGTACACCAGCCTTCTTGCAATAGGCTGCGGGCATATGGTTTGGGGCGCCGCAAAGTGGCTGGGCCTGGCGCCAACGGCTATGGGGTGGAGCGGTAGTGGACACAATGTCGTTGACAAAAGGGTGCGACGGCGGAAGAGAAGAGCGTGGTGGGCGCTACACGGCGCAGCCGCGGCCGCGGCAGGCATCTGGGCTGCCGGCGGTTTGGGAATCGTGGCTAGGGGTGGTCTAACGGACGGCTGGATTGGGAAGGTTTATGATGACTTATATAGCAGGATTTCGCTTTGGTAACCAGAGGCCAGTAGATGATACATGGAACGCAAGATACCCAGTCAACGACATATGTTCACACCTTTCAGTATGAATCAAAAACGATTATGAACCCTTACTACATTGATTGTCTACGGTTGGAACATCAATCAATCCAGCCATTTGGCCACAGACAACACGTTTACACAATATGTGCCACGATACAAAGGTTTACAGCTCAAGCCTGTATCGGGAAGTAGAGAAGAAACTGTTCTATGGTAGGAAATTAGCCAGCACTGTGACACACTTTGTACAGAAACAAGTTTCTCATTTGTTTAGAAAATACCACTGCGGAAAAGTGTTGCCTTCGCAAATTTTATCAACCCAGATATCTCCCACGTCCCTTGCACATTCTTCTTGAGCAGTGCCATGATGGTTTGACAAGCAAAGTATGGACACACACACACAACTGGACCGTTCGACACAGGGTGACTTGTAAAGGCAACTCAACTCATACTAAGTCTAGTTCCTCCCTCCATTGTTGCCACCGTTGTTGTTACCGCCTCCGTTATTGGTCCCCGGTATGAAACCACCCGTGAGTTGGGGGCATGCCTTCTGAGCTGCCTGGGCTGCCTTGACCAGGTCGTTCTGGTCTTTGCAGGCACCACTGACGCAGTTGACGAGTGAGTTGACGTTGGCCTTTTGGCAGTAACAATCCTTGATCTGATTTTGGTTGCAGCCGCTCTTCTGAATATCATCGTTGACGCACTGCTTGGCACAGTCGGGCACGTCAAGACTGTCGGCAATGGCCATACCGGCGGCAGCAGCAAGGATGGCGATAAATGAAGTCTTCATTTTGAGTGATATTGCGTGCGCTTGTAGATTTTGGCTGATCGTAGGGTCTGAATTTATTTAGATGTAAGATATCGGAGATTTTTCTTGTTGGGAACGTGGCCGCAGTGTGCGAGTTGTTGAGGCAACTTACCACTTGCAACGCGGTCGTTACAAGCACTTATATACGTAAATCTATGGTCAGGCAGTTGTCAAAGCAAGAGCAACGGGTGCTTCTTCCTCTGTCCCTTCTCCTCATCCCAACCTCTGACGTATGTTCTCGTTCTGCCATCGCCGCCGTCGGCAGCAGAGCTTTCGGCATTTCCTTGTTCACATCAAGTTGGTTGGATCTCGGAGATGGTGTCCGCGCAGTGTGATCAACTAGGTTTTCGCCGCTCCGTCGAGCAAAAGCGCGTGAGCGTGTGACTCCAAACCTAGATCACGAACGCTTGTTTGGGGCCGGGGGTGTACGACAATGACTTGATCCCAACATCTATACGCTTTGCCTCTTTGTTTCCGCCGACACAGCCCGGTAGTGTTGTTAATAAGTACCTGGTGGATCGCATGAGCGAGTGGATCGCATGAGCGAGTGGATCGCATGAGCTGGACAGTCAGCGTCCAACCACGTTTAGTCGTCATACCTAGGGAAACCACTTTGGCGTTCATACTAGAGAATCTTTCACCCCCTAGCTTGCATGATGGGCATGAAGTGATGGGACGAGCCGTTCGGTTGAGGCACGGGCCTGCGTATTGATCGCTTCGAACCGCTCAGAGGGCTGTGTGGTTACGTATGATGGCGTGGTCGGCAACTTCAAGACGCAGAGCCGCGTCAAAGCCACACGCAAAGATGACTGAGCACCCAACGGCTGCGCATCTATCTGAGAATGATTTGGTGGCTTCGCCGGCTGCGCCAAGTAAGCGACCTTCGAGACGTTTTCTGAAATCCGTGTCTTTGGAACGGACGTTACATTATGAAATCTAAGCGTTGTTCCGAGGATCGTCAAATTGTATGGGTAATCACTCTTGTATTCCCTACCACCAATTCATTTCTTCTCATTCTTGCTCGCTGTCTCTGCTTTAACGACCTTACTATACTTGGGATATGTTGTTCAGTCATAGCGACACAGCCTTTGCGTGCTAGCATCATGGCCCTTCTTGATGACGTTTCGCTCAGAACCTCGAACACCGCAAGCCAAAACTGCAAAGCTTCGTGACCGTGTCACTATGGGACGTTAAGGACTCGACAATGCTAGTCTTCGGGGTCCCATTCCTGGTATAGTAGCCAAACATCTCTCCTCTCCATCTCTGGTATGGCTCTTGGACAGCGAGGTTCACTTAGTAGCTAGCCAGGCTTCGTTGAAAAGACCTTATTAGTGCCCACCGCCAACATTGAGGCTGTTGGTGACAGTCATTGGTGGCGATGTAGGGTTAATGTGAGAGCTGTCTGAAACACGCCGTCAAAGTACCATTCAGTTTTTTGTTCCCCCCAAGTTTTGATTCTGCGTAGGGCATGCTGAGTGTGAGTATCGAGAAAACGGTAGGTCGTGCTTGATCCGTTTCCTGATTGTTCGCTTAACTTCGAATAGTAACGCTATTCCTCTTCCAGGCACAATACAAAGCTGATACGGAGGAGACCATGTGTATGCTTCTGCTCAACGAGTTTTCAGGCGAAGCCGAGGGATATAACCAAGCATCACACTTTCAAGCAGAAGAGAATATTCTCAGAAGAGAGTATTCTCAGAAGAGAGTATTCTCAGAAGAAAAATAATCTCGTTTCAAGCTGGTAGCCCGCTACGTGATACTAATGTGAAAGACTCTTGTAGACCCGTTGCCCTAGTCAAATATCAACTACAACCTAACCAACGTTTGGTTCACATTTCCACCAGAAAGCAGGCCATAAATACTTGCTAACCAAGACGGATGCGAGCAAGCGGCTCTGACTTGACCCTGCACACCCTGCTGCTCGTGGAGTCATTCATTAAACTACCGAACAGGAGTATATAGTTGTCGCCATTCAGCTGAGGTCTTGGAAGGAGCATCTTAGATTTGACGAGCATCCCGAGAGAACCAAAATTTAGCTTCCTTCCGTCTTTTTTTCACTGCTGTCACTGACCTCGGAGTGATGATTGGACATGCCATTGGTGACAAACGACATAACAGGTAAGGTACGAGGGCTTCTCGCTGGTGACTTCGCCTCATATCATACAGCAAAAACGGGTAGCTGGGATGCAGCACGTCAGATACGGTCGAGGAGCTTCTGTCGAAGGTAAATTGTGTGTAATCTTTTGACGTAGTTCATAATGTGGAAGCCCAAAGACCACTGCAAATCGCCTTGACGCCTTGACGCCAAAAACGAGTTACCATCCAGTAGCATGAGGCCATGGAATGTCGGCATCACGTTTCGCATTTTCCTTTCCCCACGACCTTCCTGGCCAGGCTTTCAACCGAAAAAAGGATTGCCGCTCCAGCGATACTTAGCATGTCGCCTCCGAACCCATGACGCAGCCCAGTGACCTGTAGGTGTTTATTACAAAGAACATGACCTGGGTGACGAGTGTACCTCTGAAAAAGTCTCCATTGTCGCCTCTATAGGGGTATCCTGCAAATAGCAAACGCCGACACGTCCGGACGTCCCAGTAACTTTCCATCTACAAGAGATGATAGACCCTATCCACCACCCGCCTACCAATGATAGGTAGTGAACATGGTCGGATTTTAGCTGACTTCGTTCTTTGCATCTTCTCATCCACGAACTGAGCCTGCACAAGGTCCTGGCCCACCATGGCTGTCCTTATTTGGTGCCTTTGCGAAGACGATGTCAGGACGGCCATTCGGGCAGGAGTCACCGTCGTTCGGGCCGGCGAACCCGTGGATAATGGAGCATGATGGCGTCGATGAGTTCTCCGGTATGTAAAGCCAGCCATTGCAGCCGTCATGAGTGTCCAGGTAGCAGATTGCACAGCAATCCTGAGCGCTTTTAGCCGGGTGCAAGTTGAACACCCAGCCGCCGCCACTCTTATCAATGCCGATCCAGTTGACCTGTTGGACGAATTCGGACTCGACGCACCCGAGAGACTGTGACGAATTATCAGATACACTAATAGAACATAGATAATCATACGAAGGCCAAGCCTTGGGAGTAGGGCATGCTTCTTACCGGTGTCGACGTTGAGGAGGGGGCTGGAAGCGAGGTCGAAGAGGTAGTTGTGGAGGAGGGAGACGATGACGAGGCAGAAGAAGTCGCAAGGTTCTCAGTATTGTCTCCGGAAGACGTGTGCCCTTTTGCGGACAACGTAACCGTGAGAGGTATCACGATGGCGAGAATAAGAAGGCCTATGCAGATACCGATTATTGTCTTCCAATTCCAAAGACGTGAGGCCCCCCGAGGCGGAGGGCTGGCATGCTCGAAGTCATTCGCCGAGTCGATATCTCCACCTAGCTGAAATGACTGAAATGTTTGATTCTCCTCGGTTCCATCGTTGCCGATTCCTAGGTTGTTCATCTGTATGCTGACGGCCTCAGGGGCAGAATGGACCACAACCTGAGGTGGCGGGTTATTGGTCTCCTCAACCCAATTCGCACCATTAGGGCGATTATCAGAGGTCGTCGACATGGCGGATTGAATGCGACTGAGATGAGACGTATCGGCGGGGGAGGGGAAAAGCGATAGACAGGATGCTGAAGATGGTGATGACAGCGACGACTGCTGAGGAATGCGGGTTTGAAAGACGTGAAGCTCAACAAATATTGCAGTGAAAACAATACATAACGAACTTTCCAGCCTGTGTGATCTCTCTGATGTCACTGCCTTGCCGCCGGGAAACTTATCGAATTGTCAGATGCTTTCCAAGCAAGAGAATGGTATATTTGTTTGCTCGATGGTGAAAGCATGGAAGGCGACGCGTGGACAATAAGAACTCTGTTCTGTATCACTACCACTGTGGGTTGACATTAGTAACCGGGCGACAGTGCAGCTGTAAATACTCAGCTACACGGAAGGAGATACCAAGGGAATGGATGCCGGATCATGTATGCGTGCCTTCCCAATAGAAAAGGTGAAAAGAACCACCCACCCCTCCCCAGGCCTGTGGCTCCGCAAACTGGCCAAACCGCCGAGGACGAAAGTTCACCACGGCCGCACCTACGTGGGTTGGTCTGAGGACTCACTCACTGCTTCCCAACGTACTTGGCACTACACAAGGCTTTCCGCAATGTAAAATGGCCCAAGGCGGCGTCAACTACATGACATCGCATACGGGCCTGAAGCCTAACTAGAGGAGGTGGGCTGGCACAAAGATTGCCTGTTTGCTTCGCCTTTGTTGCTGTAGGGTCACAGCATCTCCTAACTTCCGAAACACCTTCCCTAATGCCCGGGCTGGGAATAGTTGAAAGGCTGGGACACGAAGCATCAGTCTGGAAATCTTCTTGAAGACAACGGCGGGGTAGGGGAGTACCACGTGCTCTATCTCCATTATTGACCTGCCTTGTGGCAGCTTTTTCGAAAAGGTTGACCCTTCCAATGTCAATTAGCCGCCAGACAGCCGTAGTCGCCGTGAGCAATCCTCCGTCTGTATCTGTGTACCAGGATTTACCAAACCGTGATGTCATCCCCTAGCTAATAGTAAAGGGTCGGGACCAGGTCACTTCAACTTACTAGATGGGTATAAGCGTATGACCTTTTGGAAGACAAAGCTGCGGGGTTCACGCATTGAAAGTTGGCGTCCAGTCATCTATTCTATTGCCTCTAAGCATGTTTTACGCTGCCAGCCCACCGCATCAACATACAATAGCCGTGTTATGTCGAAGGACAACACAGTGCTAATCGGGGCCTGGGGCCTTTTTACTGAGCCAAAGACTTGGCGTCGCCGTCCTTGAGCTTACCAGCGCCGACCAATCTCTTGACCTCCTCGCTCCAGACACCCTTGATGTCGTCGGCCACCTTGAGGCCGCTGAGCTTGCCGGCCAGAGCCGCAATCTCGTCAGGGTCGATCTTGCCCTGGATGAGCTCGACGTCGTTGAGAACAGAATCAATGGTAGCGGCGGAAGGCTCGCCAGACGTAAAGTAGTTGGCATCCTTAACCGAGCCCTTGAGAACACGCTTGTTCTTCTTGACAGCGTTCTTTGCCGCCTCCTTGGCTTTCTTCGACTGCTCTCGGTCGACCTTGGCCTTCTCGTCCGCTTCCTTGGCAGCCTTTTCCTCGGCATCTTTCTTGGCCTTTGCGTCCTCGAGGGCCTTCTTCTCGGCAGCCTCCTTTTCTAATTTCTTCTTGTTTTTGGCGGCATTGGCCTCTTGTCTGAAGCGCTTGATGCGCTCGTCGCCAGCCGAGCAGTCGTCAAGCAGCTTGCGGAGACGAGCATTGTCCTCGGCCTTCTTCTTCTTGCGAGCGTTGGCATTCTTGCGTTCGGTATGGCGCTTCTGATCACGGTTTTCGTTGTCATCGGGGACATCCTCATCCAGATACTCGAAAGTCCTCCAGCTGTCAAAGTTGTACCAGAAGTTGTAGAAGTCCTCCACCTGCTCCTTGGAGGACTTGTCGTCACCAAAGACCGGTACCGGTTGGGTCTTGGAGAAACGACCTTCGGCCTTGAAGACGCTGCCCCAAAGCTTGTAAAACGTGCTGCCACCCTTGGCCAGCTGTTTTTTCGTAGGAGGGTCGACTTCGGCCTTCTCATCGACCGAATCGTACTGCTGACGCTTGGTGGGGTCCAGGAGAACCTCCGTGGCCTTCTGGATGCACTTGAAGAAGTTGTCGTCGTCAACAATACCGGCGGCCGCCTTTTTGTCCGGGTGGTGCTTAAGGACCTTCTTGCGGTGGGCACGCTTGATCTGCTCTTCAGTGGCCTTCCAGCGATACTTGGTGAGACCCAGAACCTGGTAATGGTCTTGGTTCTAGATGAGCCAGGAATCAGCCATTGATTGCTATGGGCGCAACGGCTCGCACATGAGTGGCAGTCACTTACCTTCCAGTCCTTGGCATCGCGCTGAAGCATCATGGGGTCCTCAGCCTCGCTGATCTCGCCATCATCCTCGTTCTCGACATTCTTGGTAGCTTCTTGAGCCTGGATGCGGTCATCCTCGGAGAAGGTGCGCTTGTGACGGGCCCGGCGAGCGTGGGCAAGGAAGTGAGGACCGACAGGCTCTATGCTTCGCTGAGTGGCAGCAGATACCTTGCCAACGGTCTTGAAGTCCTTCTCGGCGGACCAGCCCTCGGGTATGGCCGGGAGGACGTGAGGGACAACTATTACGGAGGCCATTCCGGTTGATTCCAATAACTTGGATTATCGCAATCGAAACTTTTGTGTTTTGAGAATACAAGGCGTCGTTGAAATTATTTCAAAAAAATTCTAGGAAGGTGGGGTTGACTTTTCTTTGGAGAAGGTGTGGGTGACGTTAGGACAGGGGAGGGGTGTGTGTTTAGAATTCTCCTGATGCCGATGTAATTTTAACATCTTTCAACACCCTATTCGTACCAGACGTATAGCTGACCTCGTCACAGCTTCCTGTCCTTGAGTGCACCCTGTTCGTCAAAATATTGCCTTTTCTTCTCCTCAAAATCCATGCACTCGTGCAGTAGCTCTTACCTCGTTTTGCTATTTGATTTATAGGCTCCTCCGACAGCCCTACTTCTTTTACCATGTCTCTGCCTGCTTACCGACACCTCTGGCGCGCGGCGCGAATCGCTTTCAAGGGTTTGGATCACTCTAATATCCTTGGGTGCCTTTTGTTAACAAAGTCACTCTCGCAGGCGACGATCGAGTCCTCACAGCAGCGCAGCAGCAGATACGCCAAGGCTTCAGAGATCAAGCGACACTCACTTCGACAGACCCTGCCTACAGCTCCGCTATCCAGAAAGCCGAAGATATTGCCAAGATTCTCAGGCAAAATGTGGTGCAGGGAAAGCAGGACGATTCTCGCGTCTTCAGTGAGTTGCGGGCGCTGATCTACTGTCGTAATTTGTGCTGGCTTATACTGACGGATGGTTTTGCAGAGTTGCGCATTCACGAGGACACCGAACGTGGGGACAATGACTCGATCAAGACGGCTGGCGGCGCTTCGGCAACGATGGGCGGATGTGGCTGCAGTTGAGGGAGGGCATTGAGACGAATGTGGCATAGGAGAGATGCCTGTAATTCTGTATAACAAACCACATGATACCCGGGCAGTTGGTATGAAGCCTTCCACTCCATTCCATCCCGATTTCCAATCGTCAAACCCTGACGATATCAATGACGCCCTAACTCCCCTAAAACGCCACTTGATTTTTCCCATTCTCCATGTCTCAGTCACCCTGTAGACTAGCATACTGCGCACCGTCGTCTGAGCCTGGTGGAGGCGCAACCACTGGCGCAGCTGGCGAGTGAGCGGCTTTTCCTGCGTCCGGACGACCGGCGACCTGCCTTCTTACACCCTTGCCATCCGTTCCACGCGCGTTCACCTGCCCTCGTCGAGCGTCCATGAGCATTTGTGAACGCTGCTCCTTGTCCATAGTACCGATGGCTTTTGGAACCCCCCAACGTACACGTAACGGGCATCCTGCAATGACGGCTCGACCCTGACACGCGGCGGCGGCATGCTCGGCCGCCTCCCTCGTCTCGTAGTTGACAAATGCGCAGTGCGACATGTGGGAGCAAACCAAACTCTTGAGTCTGCCATGTGCTTTGAAGTATTCTCGGATCTTGTGCTCTGGGAGGTCGTCCTCGATTCCGGTGAGAAAAAGGGACATTATGTTCTCATCAGCTGGGGGCATCCAATCCTGTGGTCCAGGAGGCAGTTGGGCAGCGCTTGGAAAAGCTTGCTTCGCCCTGCCCGGCCTCGCGCCGAGAGCTGCGGCAGCTCTCGAATCCCTGGTACGAATCGGGCCTGATCCACCGACACCGGCACCGACGGCTGGGTTGCCGCCTATTCCACCACTTGAGCTGGAGGCTGTCTGAGTCTCATCATTAGAACCCTCGACGGTGCGGCCCTTGCGAAAGTATGGTTTGCTTGCAGCCAATCTTCTCAGGAGTTCTCTGGCCTTTTCGTCCGTCTTCTGGTATTCTTCGACTCCCGCCCGGCCTTCCTCGATGGCGTGCTCGTTGTTTTGCGCAAAGTATTCGCGATTGATGTCGGACGATGGTCCAGGAGCCACCATCTTCAAGGCAGCATCGCGGACAACGATGGGCAGTCCAAAAGAAAGATCCAGCATGCATGCCTGACAGCAGTTTTTGAGCCGCGCGCAGGTCAAGCAAATATTTGTTCGCTTCTTTCGGCCGTGGGCTCGGTCAGCACTCCAACTGAAGACAGTAAACGGTCTCGTGCACTGCAACGGACACTATTAGCACATAGCTGAACCTGAAGAGGGGCGGATTGGGGACAATACCAATTTACACTCGGACCCGTAATCCTCCTTCAGCATTTTGACGTAAGGATTCTCTGGCAGACAGTTTTCGCAAACGGAAGGAAAATCAGTCGATTCCCAGCCTGAGCGGTTCAGGTCCTGCTTGATCTGGGGTGGCATGGCGCCTCGAAGTTCGCGCAAGTGCAATGCCACGTGCTAGTACGGATCGCAATGTGAGGACGGATGTGGATTCAGATCGTGAGATTTCTCAGTGTGGCGAGCAAAGGTTCGTGATGCGGCTGACGAACTGCCTACGTAAGAATTAACACCGAGCGCAGGCCCAGCCGTCCGCAGGGTTTCCTCCGGGCCTGGGATTTGGCATCGAATGTGGCTGCCCGCTCTATCACGTGACGTCCATTGAACGCCACAGCTGCAAGGTTCGCCCGCCACCTGAGGAACATGCCAACATGTCTATGTACCTAGCGTAGCATGCTTGGGTCATCGCGTGGGCAGGTACCTTGAAGGCACGGAGGAATGTTCCTAGCCAGTCATCTGGGGAACCTGGAAACGCATGGTAAGGCACCTACCTACTTTACACGACAGTGTAGTGTAGGTAAGCCTCGACATGCGCGGTGAGGTTGGTAGGTGGGCCCCCTTTCGCATCAACCTACACCGTCCCGGGGTTTCATACGTTAACGTAATACTTACCAATAGACTTTATTAAATTCGGTAATGGCCCTATAAAGTCACGATACTGATATTTATACATAAAATATATAATAAAATAAAAATTGATACTTTTTTTTATTTTATTGAATATTAAAAATAATTATAATTTTAGTAAAGTTAATAGGAATATTAGTAAGATAATAATAAATATTTGTAAATAAAAGGTTTAATTTTAATAAAGAATTTCGGCTTTTAGATCTAGAAGTACTGCCTCTAGATTAGTTATAGAAACTAGGCAAAGAAGATAGAATTAGTACTTGCAGTGGAACCTCCCTGTCAATTCACTGCGCTAACGTATGAAACCCCGGTGGAGGTGTAGGTAAGGCACATGCCTAGATGTGGAGATGAAAAGCACTGTACGGATACCCCTACAGATACCGAGTCAAGGGTACCTTAAGGTAAAGCTCTCTCTACTACGGATACGTAAGTCTCATGTCTCACTTTATTCACTTACCTACTACTTTGATGTGCTACCATTGATTCCGTTGCTCGATGGCAATGGAGTGTGGCAGGGTTTGCGTATGATGCCGAGTATCTTTTTATTATCTTCTTATCGACATCCGCACTAGATTACGAGTCTACAATGTACACACTAGGTACCAGAAAACCCCTGAGGAGAATCAAGCGAGTTTGATACCGCATTTTTGAAAATGGCAGCGGAGAATGCATCAACACATAGAGCAACTGTAGACTGGACGGGACGGGAGCAGGCAGTCTCCATAGACCAGGTCGGTGGCGGGTGATCAATCACAGCAGAGAATAATCTGAAAGACGCCTCAGAGTCCCCGACCGTGCCAAGGTGCCTTAGACACTAGGTGAGGTACCTTAAGCCTTAAGCTTCAGACTGTTCGAGTTCGTATTCGGATTGGACTGCCCCTGGCCGTTATGCGCATGTTTCCTGTCAAACCGTGGTCTCACCGCCTGCTTAATAAAGCAAGCACCGTCATGCTCCACGCCCCACGATTGGACAATTGCGCGAGATGGGACCCTGCGGCCGGGTCTCTTTTAAATTTGGACTCTGGAGACCCTTGCAACGCTAGACGGACAACAGTTTGGCCTTGCACTTTTCCATCTCATCTTATTGTGCACAAGACTTTGCTTGGTGCAGCGGCCTGCCATTAATTGTTAGACCGTCCTTGGACTGTGGACTGAGAGGGACTAGGAGGGTATGTTGGAAATTTGACACAGCCAGAACGAGACATACTCGACCGCTGTCGCGTCCCATCGCCTCCTTTTCCTGCCCGACACTTTGTTGCAATTGGAAAAAAAGCCTACACCCCCGCTCTCCGGCGTATAGAATCTGATTGCCTGTCCTACCGATCTTGTTGTCCTACTTTCAATTTAATCTTCCTCTTTGTTTCCCTCCGTCACTTGTCAAACTAGGTGCCTCACAACCTCCCCTTGATACCTGCCAATTCTCTACCAGTCTTCTCTTCCTGCACACCTCTCCCATCCACTGCGCCCATTTACAATTCGAAACAATGGTCACCTCAACGGCTTCCAATCTCGAGCGTGAGGACCACGCTCGCGATGCCCACTTTAACAAGGCCCTGCACGGTACGAGTGCTCAGGCCACTGGCGGTCTTGCCGCCATGTTCAGCAAAGGCCGTGATGCTAAGCAGGCTGCCGTCGACGAGTACTTCAAGCATTGGGACCACAAGGCCGCAAAGGACGAAACTCCCGAGGAGCGCGCAGTATGCCACCCAACCTCTGTTCCGCCACGAACCTCTTTCGACTCGCTGCAGATGCTGACTTTTGTTTGATATAGGCTCGTACAGCTGAATATGCGACCTTGACTAGACAGTACGCAGCGCATTTTCTCTTTTCCTGCTGGAATACAAGCTAATTGTCATCTTGTAGCTACTACAACCTTGCGACCGACTTGTACGAGTATGGCTGGGGCCAGTCATTCCACTTCTGCCGCTTCTCCCATGGCGAGCCCTTTTACCAGGCGATTGCCCGCCACGAGCACTACCTCGCCCATCAGATCGGCATCAAGGAGGGTATGAAGGTGCTTGATGTCGGATGTGGTGTTGGCGGACCCGCGCGCGAAATCGCAAAGTTCACTGGCTGCCACATCACGGGGCTGAACAACAACGACTATCAAATCGACAGAGCTACTCACTACGCTGCAAAGGAGGGCCTTTCGAAGCAGCTTGAGTTCGTCAAGGGAGACTTCATGGTACGTGAATCCCGCAGCGCCCAGATCCTTATTCATATGATTAACGTTGTTCTCGCAGCAAATGTCCTTTCCCGATAACTCCTTCGACGCCGTTTATGCTATTGAGGCTACTGTCCACGCACCCAGCTTAGAGGGTATCTACAGCGAGATTTTCCGTGTTTTGAAGCCTGGCGGCGTCTTTGGTGTTTACGAGTGGTTGATGACGGATGATTACGACAACGACAACATCGCCCACCGCGAGATCCGCTTGGGTATCGAGCAGGGCGACGGTATTTCCAACATGTGCAAAGTCTCTGAGGGTCTGGCCGCCATGAAGGCTGCCGGTTTTGAGATGCTCCACCACGAGGATCTTGCCGATAGGCCCGACCCCATGCCGTGGTACTGGCCCCTGTCAGGCGAACTGAAGTACATCCAGTCCGTCTTTGACATCTTCACCATTGTTCGCATGACGAAGCTGGGTCGATTCCTCATGCACAACATAGTTGGTGGTCTCGAGGCTGTCAAGATTGCTCCTGCGGGAACTAAGAAAACGGCCGACAGTTTGGCATGGGCTGCCGACTGTCTTGTTGCTGGTGGCAAGGAGCACCTGTTCACGCCCATGTACTTGATGGTCGGAAAGAAGCCTGCCAACTAGGTGTTAGAATGATACGCTTTGGATGTAGAGAAGGTGGCATAGGCGGACGGACGCCAACCAAAAAAAAGATGAGAAGAGGCCATGACTTTTTTTACTCGCTGTATGAGTGTTACACTGTACTATAATTGTAATTAGAAAACCACAGCCGAATGGTATTAACGACAATCCATAGTCGATCAATGTGAAAAGATAGTTAGGAAACGTGGAAACATTCCATTAAACACGCCCGCTGATGAACTGCCAGAGAAGGATGACTGCCAAACAATGGCACAAGATGAGGTGCGATCCCTGCATGGCATTCTAAGATGTAAATATTTGCGACGGACGATTGTTTGGTCCCATTGCTCCCATGTTTTCCCAGCGCATTTGGTTTCGTGGGCGGCTTCAATGTTGACGCTGGTTGCACTATTTCCCAAAGGTAGGTATCCATATCGGCTGGACGACTATGAACGAGGAACCTTGGTCTCTCCCGCAAGGCAGTCTGCCCACTCAGACTCAAATCTGAGGAATGGCCAACAGTTCAACGTGGTTAGTGTTTGGTGGTTGGCCACATCACAAAGCGCACAAAGTTGAAAGTTCAAATGCTTGACGTCCTTGACGATGCCAGCCACGCATATGAATGATGATTGCAATCGCTCAGAGTTCCTGTGGAACGTGCATGGCCAGACCACCCCACCAGGCTCACATCATCCAGTTTCCTTTCGTTGGTCCTCACTCGGACCTACGTGGCTCTCCGTTCGGATGGAAGCGGGTGGCACCGGGTGCAAGGTGCTCAAAAAGTGTTTGCTGAGTAGGAACCTCATGGAGATCAATGCGCTTAAGCCCGACGCCGACAAAGGAGTACTGAGAAAGGCCGATGAAAACACTCTTTGAGCTGGGCAGTCAATAGTAGCAACGCAGCGAAGGGAGACCAAACCAGCGGAGCTTGTCGGGATTAAATCGGACCTGGATGTGAGCGCAATTTGGACGGGACTGATCGCTGAATCACAACGTGATTGGTTTAGAAAGTACGCCGCCGATTATCTAATGGCTAGGAACCCCACTGATACCAAATAGGGTTAGCTCCACGCCCGGGACCTCCCCAACGCTGTTGTCTGTTAGCTCGCCGCAATTCAACGGACTCAACGCCCATAGAGCTGAGCAAAAAAAAAAAGCTGCGAAATCCCTCGACAGCTCCCCGTTGACCTTCTCATCCCTCTCACTTCGACGCTCAACTCTCGTCGTTGGCCATCGTTAACCCCACTCCGAGGTTACGTATTGTCCATCCACCGCATTTTGCTTCCTGTTTCCTCATTATTCAGTTCCTCTTGGGATATCAAGCTTCCTTCGCGTTGCGACCATCGCGCCTTTTCTGTCACACAGCCCTCCTAAGACTCAATTCGCGATGTCCCGATTCCTCCGTCCCGCAGTTCGCCTGGCGTCTTCGTCCAGAGCTGCCTCTCTCCGCTCCTCTCCCATCTCCCAACTCGTCAGCCGGCCCGCTGCCTTCGCCATCCAGTCACGGACGTTTGCCGACGCAAAGGGAACCAAGGACTACACTGTCCGAGAAGCCCTCAACGAGGCCCTCGCTGAGGAGCTCGAGGCCAATGACAAGGTCTTCGTTCTGGGTGAGGAGGTTGCTCAATATAACGGCGCGTATAAAGTCACAAAGGGTCTTCTGGACCGGTTCGGCGACAAGCGTGTCATCGATACACCCATCACCGAGAGCGGTTTCTGCGGTCTCGCCGTTGGCGCTGCCCTTAGCGGACTGCACCCTGTGGTAAGTTGCTTCTTCCGGCACGCTGATAAGACCCTGCGGACTTGACGGCGGGCTGTTCAGTTATCTGGGCAGAGGCTGTCCGGTTCAAATCGGTAGTACATTCGAGGTTTCGGACGCCCGTGTCTAACTGTTGTATTTCCTCCAGTGCGAGTTCATGACTTTCAACTTTGCTATGCAAGCCATCGACCAGATCGTCAACTCCGCGGCCAAGACACTCTACATGTCCGGCGGTATCCAGCCCTGCAACATTACCTTCCGTGGTCCCAATGGCTTCGCCTCTGGCGTCGCCGCTCAGCACTCTCAGGACTACTCAGCCTGGTACGGCAGCATCCCTGGTCTGAAGGTTGTCTCCCCCTGGAGCGCTGAGGACGCCAAGGGTCTTCTCAAGGCTGCTATTCGCGACCCTAACCCCGTCGTCGTTCTCGAGAACGAGCTCATGTACGGCCAGACCTTCCCCATGTCGGAGGCTGCCCAGAAGGATGACTTTGTTCTTCCCTTCGGCAAGGCTAAGATCGAGCGCTCCGGCAAGGACTTGACCATTGTCACACTCTCGCGATGCGTCGGCCAGGCTCTGGTTGCCGCTGAGAACTTGAAGAAGAACTATGGCGTCGATGTTGAGGTTATCAACTTGCGCTCCGTCAAGCCTTTGGACGTCGAGACCATTGTTCAGTCTGTCAAGAAAACCCATCGCCTCCTTTCCGTTGAGTCTGGCTTCCCCGCCTACGGTGTGGGCTCAGAAATTCTGGCCGTGACGATGGAGTACGCCTTCGACTACCTTGATGCGCCTGCCCAGAGAGTCACTGGCGCCGATGTCCCTACCCCCTACGCCGCCGGTCTCGAAGAGATGGCTTTCCCTACCGAGCAAATCATTGAAAACTACGTTGCTAAGATGCTGCGTCTGTAAGAGAGTTGCGTGGGTTGGAGGAGAGATCACAGGCGTGGGCAGGCTGCTTCTTTGAAGCTCCCGGGATGGTTGCCGATCTATAATGGCCCGTGGAGCTTGATAGACTTGGGGGAGAAGCTTGTACTTGTATGTTGCTTAGTTGTCATATATACATCTCATACCCTGGGGTTATAACTGTATGCGATGATCCATGCGCCATGGTATCAGCTAATGCGTAGATGACCGTTGTGGAGTGGACATTCATCATGGTTGAGACGACCGATGTACGGCAGAGTCAAGTAGCAAACCATCTCACAGTGAAACAGGCTCGGAGCTCAGGAATTGGAAAACCGAGGATGGGATCAACATGCGTTGTTTGTAGCTTGAAATGGTTCGGCGATGAGGTGAAGGCGGCAAATGAACAACAAAATGCAATTGATTAATAATATCCGTATATATGCGGTCAGATAGTTTTGCCAACTGCCAGTGGATCCCTGTACATAAGGTCTGGGAGGAAGCTCATCCATCAAGCATTATGATGGAGAATAGATGATTTCTGGACTGGGCCGGAATGGGGAACTAGAAGAGCGCCTGGAAGGCTGGCAGTTTTCATGGCGCCCGTTTGTGCCTACCTAAGGTACCCTACCTATCCTTACGGTCCGTACCTACCTTACCTACCTTACCAAAGGTAAGTATTGGAGGGGGCACTTGTACCTCACCTTACCCACCTGAGGTAAGGTAGGCACGGTACCTAAGGTACTGAGCAGCGTGGGTACCTAGGTACTGAGCCACCTTCATGTTAGTTACAACTTCCAGCGCTGCCACCCCGCAACTAGGTACACCGTCATCAGTCCCGCCGTAAGGTACCTTGGGTCGGGTAAGGTACCTTACCTCACTTCATCTCACGCCAAGTCGACCCTTCCTGCCTACATTGGGTAGTGAACAAAAAAGTCAGCTCAAGATCGAAAAACCTCATCTCGTCGCATCTCATCTCATCTCACATCGGCTTATATCCTACCTTGGACGACACTACATCTCTCCCGCCGCTCATCGTCGTCACGATGGCTTCTGACCTGGCCGCGGCCATCCAAGGTCTCCATCTTGAGGATCTCCCCGACTCAAACATTGATGATATGTTGTTCCAGCAACGGCCAAGCAAACGCGTCAAGCAAGATGTTTCCCAGCTGAAGAAAAGCCTTGAGACTAATTTCCTCATGCCTTGCATGAAATTTTCACCCGAATGGCTCAACAGCCTGCAGCAGTATGGCCCTTTGAACACCGACAAATTCTGCTTTCGATGTCCATTAGCTGATTTCCCCCAGGCGTTGGGATTGCCCCGTGGATTATACCGAGCTCTTTAAGATTGGATACCCCCAAACCAGAACTGTGACACGGTTCGAACGACACGGCCTTGAGGGCAGAGTGAGTGGCTACCAAAACGTCACAGTTCCTGCCAACAGCGCTACCGCCAAAAATTCGACTTCCTTCCTTCGCAAGCCCGCCAACAGAGCTGATTTCGTCCGTGGAGCCGCCGGGTTTTTCCCCTTTGCACCTGGTGGGCTGGATGGAATCGAGGTAACCGCCGCGCTCGAGGACCAGGTTCACCGTTCTGGGGGTGGAGACGCTGCGGCTGTGTCAAACAACAAGCTCGAGCGGATCATCAAGCTTGGTGTTGAGGGTGGCCTGCTCGATGTTGCACCTGGACTTAGCCGAGGAGTTGATATCGGCAAGAAGAAGGCCGACGAGGACGAAGCCATGGCAATTGAGCAAGAACTGGACCAGGAACCAGAACAACCACCAGGGTCAGATGAGGCAGACGGCGAGATTCATATGAATGGCGACAAGGGGTTCAAGGCCGAGTCTGAAGACGAAGAAGACAGCGAAGACATTGACGCTATTCTGCCTGTCGAATTCCCTGCTCTTGAGCCCCATGGTGCATTGGCTGCGTCTAGTGCCAGGAAGGCTAGCCGAGAGTGGGCCCACATGGTTGACATCAACAGAGACATCGCCAACTTCAGAGAATTGGTGCCCGATATGGCAAGAGATTGGCCCTTCGAGCTCGATACATTTCAGAAGGAGGCTATTTACCACCTCGAGAGCGGTGATTCTGTCTTCGTCGCCGCTCACACATCAGCCGGTAAAACTGTCGTCGCCGAATACGCCATTGCCCTCGCAACGAAGCACATGACCAAGGCCATATACACGTCCCCGATCAAAGCCTTGAGTAACCAGAAGTTTCGAGATTTCCGTCAAACATTCGACGAGGTTGGTATTCTTACGGGTGATGTCCAAATCAACCCTGAGGCCAGTTGCCTGATTATGACGACGGAGATTCTACGAAGTATGCTCTACCGGGGAGCTGATCTCATCCGAGACGTCGAATTTGTCATCTTCGACGAGGTACACTACGTCAACGATTTTGAGCGCGGCGTTGTCTGGGAAGAGGTTATCATCATGCTACCGGAACATGTAACGCTTATTCTCCTATCGGCGACGGTACCCAATACCTATGAGTTTGCCTCCTGGGTCGGACGCACCAAGCAAAAGGACATATACGTAATCTCTACACCCAAGCGACCAATTCCATTGGAACACTACTTGTGGGCTGGCAAGAATATTCATAAAATAGTCGACTCCGACAAGAAGTTCATTGAGAAGGGTTGGAAGGAAGCCAACTCGACGATTCAGGGCAAAGAGAAAAACAAGGCTCTGGAGACAATCAACGCCTCTCGCGGTGGCGGTGGTCAAAGAGGAGGCCAAAGAGGAGGCTCACAACGTGGTGGACAGCGAGGAGGTCAGCGTGGAGGTGGTCCTCAACAAAGGGGTCGTGGTGGAGCGCCGCGGGCTAGTCACAACCCGGGTCACATGGGAAGAGCTGGTCGCCAGGGCGGTTTCGCCTCTGCAGCCCAAGACAAAAATCTTTGGGTCCACCTTGTTCAATTCCTCAAAAAGTCGAACCTACTTCCTTCGTGCATATTCGTCTTCTCTAAGAAGCGATGCGAGGAGAATGCTGATGCACTCAGTAACCAGGACTTCTGCACAGCGACTGAAAAGAGCGCCATCCACATGACCATCGAAAAGTCCATCGCTAGACTCAAACCCGAGGACCGAGCCCTGCCACAGATCATTAGACTACGGGAGCTTTTGTCTAGGGGGATTGCGGTTCATCACGGAGGGTTGCTGCCGATCGTTAAGGAGATTGTCGAGATTCTGTTCGCCCAAACTCTCGTCAAGGTGCTATTCGCTACGGAGACCTTCGCTATGGGCCTCAATCTACCAACTCGAACGGTCGTTTTCTCTGGGTATCGTAAAAACGACGGCCACTCCTTCAGAAACCTACTTCCTGGCGAGTATACACAGATGGCCGGCAGAGCAGGCCGTCGAGGCTTGGACACAGTCGGCTCGGTCATCATTGTTCCACCGGGCGGGGACGAGGCTCCCCCGGTTGCCGACCTCCAGAAGATGATTTTAGGAGAGCCTTCAAAGCTAAGGTCCCAGTTCCGTCTCACTTACAACATGATTCTCAACCTACTTCGGGTTGAGGCTCTCAAGATTGAAGAAATGATCAAGCGTAGCTTCTCGGAACACGCCACCCAGCAGCTGCTACCTGAACATGAGAAGGCGGTCAAAATCTCGGAAGCCGACTTGGCCAAGATCAAGCGAGACTCATGCAGCGCTTGCGACGTGTCTATGGACGAGTGCCATCAAGCATCGGAGGACTATAAGCAACTCACTGGGGAAGTTTACAAGTCTCTTGTTGGTATCCCCATCGGCCGCAAGATGTTCAGTCAGGCCCGCTTGATCGTTTACAACAGGGATGGTGTTCGCACACCTGGCATCTTGCTATCGGATGGTGCTAGTGACAAGGGGTCTCAAGGCGGTCCTACTCTTCACGTCTGTGAGATCAGGCTGATGAGGGAAACCCGAGATTCGACAGACCTTCTACCATTCATCCCGGCCTTCCGCAAGTATCTCACACCGCTACCGCAGGCGAAGAAGCACATGCGGATCAAGACTCTGCAAGTACCTCTAAGTGATGTTGAATGTTTGACGAGATACGTCACCAAGGGCATTGTACCAGAGATTTTTCAAGGTGGGGAGAAGTACGCAAAGGCCAAGGACAGGCTCCACGCGCTATGCAGGTCGTGGGACGATCTTTGGGACGAGATGGACCTCTCCAAGATAAAGAATCTCTCATTTCAAGAGATGATGAAGAAAAGGAAGGATGCAGAAGCCGCTGCCTCGTCCTCGCCTGCTCTTTCCTGTCCCCAATTCTTGAAGCATGTAAGTTGACACACGTCTCACCCCTGCGGGAGGTGCAATCGCTGACAATGGTTGAAGTTTGCCATGTGCCATGACCAGTGGCTGATCAAGGAGCATATCTCTCAGCTCCGGCAATCTCTCTCAGACCAGAATCTTCAGCTTCTACCGGACTACGAGCAGCGTATCCAGGTGCTGAAACAGCTCCAATTCATTGACGAAAGCGCCAGGATACTGCTGAAGGGCAAGGTGGCCTGCGAGATCCATTCAGGCGACGAACTGGTCCTGACCGAGTTGATTTTGGACAATGTTCTGGCCGACTACGAGCCAGCCGAGATCGCTGCCCTGCTTTCGGCGTTTGTCTTCCAGGAAAAGACAGACACACAACCAAACCTAACGGGCAACCTTGAGCGGGGCAAAGATACCATCATCGCTATCAGCGAGAAGGTCAACGAAGTCCAGACACTCCACCAAGTCATCCAGTCCGCGGACGATTCGAATGACTTTATCTCTCGGCCCCGGTTCGGCTTGATGGAAGTGGTCTACGAGTGGGCGCGGGGTATGAGCTTCAAGAACATCACTGACCTGACTGATGTCTTAGAAGGAACTATTGTGCGGACGATTACGCGTTTGGACGAAACGTGCCGTGAGGTGAAGAACGCTGCTCGCATCATTGGAGACCCGGAATTGTACCAGAAGATGCAGACGGCGCAAGAGATGATCAAGCGCGATATTACGGCAGTCGCCAGTCTGTACATGTAACTTTCGTTTAGCATACGACAACCCCATGCATGTATGCCCGAGGCTGGTGGAGCCGGTTAAGATTAATTAATGAATTAAACGTATCAGTGACCTGTTCAACCGCCTCTAATTCGTTCTGACGACAGACGGCACGCGGGTTATTCGTTTGTGGACCCGTCTCTGTTCCCAATACCTATATAAATGTGTTGCACGTGCCCACGCCCAGAATAACGCCTAGTTCCCAATGTACCAAACGAGTGAAGCCGTCCCGGCCTGCTCAAATCAACAAAGTTCTACACCGGACCTCAGGCCCTCAGCGCACGCAGTCTCTGCTGCAATGCGTCTTCCTCCTCTGCAGTGGGTTCGGCAGAGACAAGTTCCTCCTTGGCTGGTGCCGCGCTGTTGAGTTCAGCATTGAGTTGCACCCCAGCGTCATCGGCCAGTTTGCCCAATAGCTCGTGCACAGCGTCATCCGACACCTGAGCACTCGTAGTCTGCGAAATGGCGTCCTGGTAGATGCCGTTGGACACGGCGTACTCTTCGTTCTGCTGCTTGAATTGCTCAAGGGTCACAAGGGTCTGGAGGGTATAAAGTTAGAAAGACAGGGCAAGGCAACACCTTTCCAGCTCCTGATTCGGTAGCATACCTTCTCGGGGTTCATGTTCTTTTGTGCCACGGACATAGTACGAGACGACTGGCCCATCATGTGCGTCATACGATTCATTGAATTATTGGCTTGAATCTGCGCGGCAGAAAGCTCGGCCATATCAGCCATTTGGTCCATTTGTTGAGCCAAGGCCTGCTTAGACAGTAGCATCTTGGCCTTTTGGTATGCTTTTGCTGTCTCGCCCTTCTTGAGGAGCTGCGTGGATCATTATTAGTATACCCAGCCGCATTTATTCTTCCGCTAAATTAACGAATGATATGACGAAAACCTACATCTTGAATCTGCTTCTTCAGGATAGGATCTTGTTTTGCGGCTTTCTGCGCTTCTCGCCGAGCTTGCTTCGCTTGGAACTTGATGCCCGTTAGTTGCACGTTATTTGGGAACCGCAAGGGATCACCACTTGTGCGCATGTTGACCCGCTGCTGAAGTTGAACAAATATCCCAACTTACCCGAGCCTGGAACTCAACCTGCATATCCCGAGCAAGTGCGCGATTCGACATGGCGACTAGGGTGCCTTTCGGGACTGGAGAAAGACCAGGTGGCCGGGTATGTAACGAGCGATGGTTCGATGCTTGGGTGTTATCGTCGTTGAGATAGATGCGTACGTTGAAGGTTAGGTAGCGATGTCTGGTTGGTGTTGTGCAGAAGCAACAGCAAATGTTCGTGGTTTGTGAGACACCCACATATTAGGCAGTACCTCACAAACCCAAGCGTCACCTGTCGGGGAAGCATAGCCTTAATTACTACCTAAGGTACTTTAGCATAGCCAGCCGGTGATCGGTTCCCGACACTTGTCCCAGGTGGGGACGGCTGGCTCGAGCCATCTGGTGACGCAATACCATGGGAGAGACTTAAGCTCCCCAGCCACATCATCGCCGCCACATACGCCTCAGTGTCTATCAAGGATCCCAGGTCGTATTACTAGTTGTCGACGACAACAGTTCAACCCGTTTGTTGTTAGTTTCAGCATCGGGCCTTTGATGCGCCGAAGTCTAAGATGTTACAAGAAGTCAGAGTACCCCTCCCCTTAGCTTGCGACAGGTCAAGCTTGCCTGGATCATTGAATATACAAGGAACCTCAACAAGAGCACCTGGGTTCGCTTGACCCTTGCCATCGCTCAGCTCCTCATTGAACGCCCATAGCGTCAAAAAGAATGGCTACGCGAGCGAGGATGAATGTGCAAACATTTCCGCGGCCGCCACTGTTGGAGAAGCTATCGCGCCACTTGCAAGTTGTGTGGAACGGCCAAGTGATTGCGGAAACTCGGGATGCCTATTGGGTTCTGGAGACGCATCACCCCCCTAGTTCGTTATAACTTCGGCCTGGACAGGTGCCGAGCTGCACAGCAGTGGTTCGACTAACAAGTGTAATAGCGTACTATTTGCCACCAGCGGCGGTGAAGGTGCCGCTGACCCCGACGCGTCGAAGTACATACTGCGAGTGGAAAGGTGCAGCTACATACTACACCATCGCGGCCCCCGCATCGTCGTCCGTTACAAGGTCGGAGGTGGTTTCCAACCGTATCTGGTCATATGAGTCTCCAACGCCGGGATTCGAAGCAATCAAGGGGTATTTGTCATTTTATGCTGACCCGTGGAATTGCTTCGTCGAAGGCGAGGCAGTCCAGCCGCAGCCGGGGGACTTTTACGGGGGATGGGTGACTTCAGATATCGACGGCATCGTGAAGGGGGCTCATGGCAACTGGGACCCTGTGGTCTGATTTTAGCAAGCCGGGAGCGACGGAGACGGGGCGATTATGCTGGCTAGAGATACCGGCGCCGGCTGATCTGACTGCCCGGGGCCACTATCAAGTTTACCGAAAATATACCTCGTCGACCGTACGGACTGAACCTCCATGCACACCGACCCCGTGTTACTGTTCCGGTGCAGGTGTTGGCAACTTAGAAAGTGTTCACATGGCTGATACCTCATTGCATACGATCATGTTTAGCATGGAGAAAAAGGACACAGTGCAGTGGTAGAATGCGACCGAATCCCCATATCATGTACGGATGAAGTGTTATCCGCATTGGTCCATCTGCAGGCGGAAGCTGTGTTGAAACTCGGTGCAGGCATTCACAGCTGGATCCCCGACGTATTCAGGAGTGACTGGTTCGTAGACTAGGCTAATCCGTCGGGTAGGTCGAGTGTGATGGACGTGGAACACCAGCTTGGTATGGTGAGGGTTCGAAATGGTTGCCGTTGATTGTGTTGGGGGGGAACCACGTTGCTACGCCCACATGATGAACTCGCCGGGTCGGCTATCCGTCCCTTCCGTCGTCGGCCCCCCAGATCCAGCCGGCCACTCGGGCGTATTAAGAGTCATTGCGGACACTCAGTACGGGGTTAATACTAGCGCTTCGGTACTCAGAGTACGGATATACCATTGGAGATGTCAAGTCGAGTCTGAGCCGACGTGGCTGGGGAGACGGGTCGAGGTTGTGAGCACCGCTCGCGAAAGACCTGGGAATGCCCCTTCTCAAATAGGGGTAGGAATTGTGACCGTTGTGCTTGCGTACCATCGATCTAGGCAAAACGTGTGTAGTTGTTGCCGCCGTCGCCGCCGAGAGCCCGGCGAAAGGTCTTCTACCAGGCTTGGGCCGCATCCTAGACATTAAGATTTGAAAAACGGGCAAACATACGGAAGAGGTGGATAATGATGGCAAGGCTTCGACGATGCAAAACCATCCAGAGTCAGGTGATTGCAGGACAACTCATTCTGGACAAGTACGACAAACCATTGGCCAACGGCGGCCAGTGATGCATATTAGATTGAGTTTGTCAATGGTCATCAGAATATTCAGAGCAGTTTCAATCTCGTGCACTCCGGTATAGGAGACCAGTGCGAAAGAGCCGGCGAGAATATGGAAGGGGCTGACAACCTCGACGCTTGAGGGTTGGGTGAGAGTTTTGGCACTTCGGGATGGACGTTCAAAACTATCCGTACCGCTGTCATGCCAAAAGCAACGGCATCCCGAGTATGAGACTCATCCAACAAGGATCTGTCTTCCAGTGGTTATTGATGTCCCAAAGACTTGAGCCACGAGAGAACCACTGGGTATATGGGTGCGTGGTATTGCGAATAATGTTATAAGTCATCTATTGAAGTTGACCTGCGAGCTGACCAGAGTCTAAATCGCTAGTCCATTGCACGAAAAGTGTATGTTTGTACATCGGACCGGCCGGATAGGCATCGAGGCCGTTTACACTTTTGGTCAAATATAACGAGTCGCGTTCTGGAACGCCGGGGTCTCACTAGATGGCCAGTGCCATGTATCTGCGGCATTCATGACCCCTAGATCGCCTCGGGAAGCCAGGGATTGCGGCGGCGGTTTGTGAGTGGTACCACGGGTCCATATCAAGGGCAGTTGGCGTTTCTTTGGTACGAGACGCTAGTACTCCGTAAATGAGTTGAGATCCAACGATAGACTCCACTGAAGGGAGACAAGACGCGCGACACAATATGCCTCTAGACCCACATCCTGTGAAAGAGCTCTCCTTACATAGTAACTACGTAACCTCTAGGAGGCATCGTGCCAAAAAAA